CGCACGGCGCCGCGAACCGCGGGAGGATACGGCGGAACCCCCCCACAGCTCCATCCGGACATCAAGCCAAAGAGCGTTGACTTCCCCCTTGCGCCGCTTGATAAACGAACACACATCGCCCCCCCCCAAAAAAAGCGCAAAAGCTCCCCGACGAAGGAGGACCGCCCAGGCAACGCGCACAACGACCACCCACCTGAAGAAGAAATCCACCGGCACGACCGCACGGGAAGAACTCTTCCACGGAGAGGCGCAGCCCCCAGTGGACGCGGTGGCGGATAGATAACCTGTCTCCCGAAGTCAAAACCAGACCCAAGAACGACGAGTCTTCCGAGGCAGACTCCAGCTCATGGACGACGGCCCCCCTGCTCTAGGGCGGAGCGAATTCGGGGCGCAGTCGAGTTTCCGATGAGTGGGCCCTGACCGAAAACCAAGATGTCGTCGACGTAGCCGGCGACTCGTACCCGAGTGGCGTCGTCGAGCGGAGTGGCAGGGTTGACATCCACGACGAGGCGCGACCCATCGATGCCGGAGCCCCCATCGGGCGTTCAGCAGAGCGGACTGGGCGAGGCGCGCGGCCCACTTCCACCCCACGCGCAGGATTGCGAGAACTGGCTCGAGCTCTGCAAGCCTGGCATCCCCGGCATCGACAAGGAGAAAGGCGGAAAAATTCTGAAGCTCAGCTGGAAGGGCTATTTTATACAAGCAAATCACGACGCCACCCGCCCCCGCGAAGACCTCGGCCCCGGGGGCCCCAGCGGGCCCCGGGGCCGAAGCAACGGGGGACGGGTGGCAAACGAGATTTGAAAATGGGAAACAAGCAAAAACCCACCAACCACCCATAAAATCCGCGACAGGCGCGGCGAAGATAAGCCTGCGCTTGCCATATTTTCCTGCCACAAAGAAAATGCCAACGTTGCTGGGCCGCCCAGTCGCGAGCCTCCACGAAGCCATTCCCCGGTCGAACTAGCCGCGAATAGAGGCAGCGCAACGGGCGGGCGGCGAGCCTCGAAGCGGGTCAACATACGTCCCGAGCGGACAAGCTCCTCGAATCATCCCGTAGGCTTCGGCCGCGGGCCTCAGCTGGTTCTCGCCGGCACGGCCGACCCACTTAGAATCGCACAGGCCGAAGAGGCTCTCCAGAGGCACCAGCTGCGCCCCCTGGCCAGGAGGCGAGGCCCCGGGAATGCGGCCGCCGAGCGGCCCCAGAAGAATCGCACAGACCAGTAGAGGCGCAGGGCTCGCCGAGGGCCCCAGCGCCAGAAGAGAGGTCGGCGGGCTGGGGGCCGACGGAACGGAACTGCTCACCCACATACTCGAGGACAGCCCTCAGGCGCAGATCAGGGCCCACAAGCCGGCCGCAAGGCCCAAGACCATACGCACTGTCGCAGGAAGGCATGGCACCGTTGGCCCAACAGGTGGAATGCTCAACTCGGCGACAGCGTCGGACGACGCCCCAACTCACGAAAGCGGCATCACGGACGGGAGAACAGCAGGAGGGGGGGAAAGGAGGAGAAAACTTACCTTTGGCACGGTCAGAAGTGGCGCCGTCGGCGGCCATGCCCGCGCGAGGCGCAACACGCGGACCCGCGGAGAGGGCGAAAAAACGTCACGGCCCGGCGCCGCGGCAATAGATCCAGCGCCGGGTTGCTGCATCACCCCTGCTCATATTTGGCGGCCTTGCCACTCTTCTTGTCCGTTCCTTTTGTCATGGTTGCGGTTCGCCGCGCGCTCCTCTCGCGCGCTCCGGCGCTCCTTCATGACCAGCACTTGTTTTGCCTGCTCCTGCGCAATCCAGTCCTGGAACTCAGGAGCCACGCACACACTACCACGGACGAGGTCGGAGCCCAGGAACAAGTGCAGGTCGACCAATGTCCTCGACGCCGACGACGCGGCCTTGCAGGGACCTCCCGAGCATCTCGAAGGACGCCATCTCGGGAATGTTGATCTGGACATAGCAGGAGGCCGTCTCTAGCGCCACGCACACTCGGAGGTGCCCAGCAAATGCGGGCCCCGAGCCGATAACACGCGCCCCCGCCTTCCAGCTGCTGTTGCGCGCCACCGGCGAGCCGCCGTTCGCCGCGATGAACTTGCACACCATCAAAAGAACAGGGGGGCGCGGACCGACCAGTCGGCGAAGGCGTCACCGTGAACGTGCCCACCGCCAGCCTGAACTCGCGGAAGCGCAACCCGTGCACGTCGAGACCGACAGGCTGCGCCCGCAGGTCGAACACGGCGGGCGACCCAGCCGGCGCCACAACGGACACAACAGGGGCCGCGGCGGCCGCCGTTGCGGCCGCTCCGAACGCAGGCCCAGCCACGGCAGCGGGCCCTGCGACAGCGGGGACCAGCGCGCCCGCGGGCGCCGCGGCGGCCGCCGGCGCTGGCTCCGCGCCAGCGGGCGGCGGCGCGAGCGCCCCAGGAGGCACGCCTGGGTCTGCAGGACCGCCGAAGGCGGCGGCCAGGGCGGCCAGCCCTCCGCCAGGCGCCGTGGCGGCCGCGGGAAGGGGCCCGGGCTTGAAGACTGCGACGCGCTCGTGCCAAAAAACTAACCCGGCGACGTTGTAGCGGACCACGAAAAAGTCCCCCTCGCCCAGCCCCCCCGCCGACACGGGAAGCCCAGCACCAGCCGCCAAGGGCCGCCCCACCGTGTTCACAACGAACGGGGTCACAGGCGCCGCGGAGCCAAGGCGCGCCGCGCCGGCAGCCCGCGCTGCCAAGAGACGTCCAGGTAGAGGCAGCGTTCGGAAGCGGTACACGTGAGCCGGCGCCGTCTTGCGCCGACGGGTGGCGGGAGCCCCCTCTGCATACCGTTGGGCTGGTGGACGGCCTCCACGATGTCGGCAGCCAAACTGGCGTCCTCGTCGTAATCGTCGTCGTCAAGGGTGACGATCGTGTAGGCCCACGCGCCCACGGCCGCGGCCGCCATCATAGGCCTGAAGCGTCAGCCGCCGCCCGCCGCTTCAGCGCGAGGGCCTCCAGCCGCTGCCGGGCCTGCTCCGCGATCGGTTCGGGCTCGAACGCGGCTGCCTCCACCGCCAGTTTGTCAACGCCTGGTGCTCGCGAGCCCAGGCAGGCCCCCGCGGGGTGTAGACGTCCCAGCACGAACCCGCCGACCACGAGGGACAGCCACCACAAGAGCACCTCGAGCAACAGGCCACCCGGCTTCTACTTGATGATGTCCTCGCAGGTGACCATAAGGCACGCCAGGCAGTCACAGTTGACCACTGCCCGACAATCAAGGCATGGCACGCAGCTGGCCCAGGAGAGGAGGAAGACGGCCGAGGACGCGGTTGTCAACATCTTGGCCGCCCCCTCAAAAATCATGTTTGCCCCCACGAACAGGGGCATGGATCAGAGCTCGCGCCAAAACCCAAATACGCCACACTCGTCATTTAGATGTGTATATATGTGTATAATATATATATATATATATATATATGTGTGATATATATATAATATAATATATATAATATGTGTATGTGTATATGTGTATGATATAAATATATATACATATATATATATATATATATATATATATATATATATATGCACACATATGTACATAAACATACACGTATACATACAAATGTATTACCCGTTATGCTTTGTGAAAAAAGTGTTCACCCCCTCCGGACTTAACGTTACCCTTTTTCGTATGGCAATTCACAAACGATTTTGCCCCATCGTCCATCCGAAGTTTGAATTCGTACCATCCCAAGCAGGCCCAGCATCGCCCCCCCCCCCCCCCCCCTCATCCTCTGCCAAAAACTATACGCGCGCACTCGGATATCCAGAACCATCAGTTTTCAAAGATCCGTTGCGCAAAACGGGTCGACTTGCACTCGCGCGCGTCGTCGCGCGCGCATGCCAAAATCCTTCCAAAACCCACATTCCGTAAAGATTGCAAGATCTAGCGCCCCGAAAACACTTGAAAAAATGCTTCCCAACACGAACTTTCAAAAACCAGCAACAATACGCTCGGGCTCTTGGTTATTTCTCACACACACACACACACAAACCAAATACATAGGTGCTCAACTTTTTCACAACTTGCTACCAAGCGGGCCTCTCGCGCGCACGTGTCAGAATCACTCGAACGTTTTTGCGCGCGTGCTGTCGCATGAACCCATTGCATAAAACGGGACGAAGTGCACACGCGCGCGTCGTCGCGCGCATGCCGAAATTGCTCCAGAACCTTACGCAAACATATAGAACACACACATGGTTTTGCAAAATCGATGTTCAAGAATGCATGCGCTCGCGCTCCTGCGAATGTCTGAGACAACCATAAGTTGTTCAACATGTCCCTGAAACTCCGCCAAACTTGCCCCTCGCGCCGCATGTCGAAATCATTCGAACGCCCTTGCACGCTTGCTGGGGAAGAGGAGGTGGCACGATACCATGCGGGCCACTCTCGCGCGTCGGCCGCGCGCGCACGTCGAATTCCCTCCAAAACTTTCATGACCGACGCGAGGACCCCGTCATCGTCGTCTGCATGATCAGCATCGGCGCCGTCATTGGCTTTGCCGTCGTCGTTGTCATCATCGTCACAAGCATCACTACCATTATCATCGCGTCTACCGTTGTTGGCGTTGCCATCGTACCGCGCCCCACAAAGCGCCAACTCGCACTGAAGTGCCCGCTGGGGAGAGCCCAGTGGTGAGCGCCACTGCGGCCGCTTCGGTCGCGCCAAACAAGCTGACCGCTGCACGCGCGAGCATGCGCGGGCTAGCGCGGCCGCAGAGATGCACCAGCCAACACCAAGCACTCATCGCAATCGCCGCCGCATTGCTTTTGCAAACCAAGTTGCGGGTAGGTGGGTGGGAAGATTGCGCGAGCAGTGGAGTTGATGACCCACTGCGAAACGAAATTAGTTACACCACATTGATTGCACCATATAGATTGCACCGCATATGTTGCTCCACATAGGCTGCATTACATACATTGCTAAATAAACACGCTGCTTGGGGCCCACGCTGGGTGACATGTCTGCCCCTGGCCCCCCGAAAAAATACGTCGGAGGCCCGGGAGACAGCGAAGGCTTGGGGCAGGCTGGCCGCGCGATGCCCGCTCGGCCACCGCAGCCGCCTTGGCTTAGGTCGGGCCTGTCCTCCTACAGGCGGATTTGGGGCGAATTTCTCAAAATATTCAAAGAGTATTCCAAACTTGTCAGAAACACTAGAAAAACCGTCCCCCGACTATGTTCCAACTACTTCTCAATATTCCTCCTGTCGAGGGACAGGCCCGACTCAAGCCTTGGCGCCCCGATGGGAGGCTACCGCAGCTCCACGCCGGGCTCGATCTTGAGCAGCTCGACGTCGAGGAGCAGGTCTGCGCCGGGCGGCACGACGTCGCCCAGGCCCTGCTCGCCGTAGGCCATCACCGCCGGCACCCTGATGCTGGCCCTCTCCCCCAGCGACATCAAGGGCACGCCGTCCTCCAGCCCCCGGATCACCTTCCCCATCCCGACCATGAAGGTCACCGGCGTCCCCTTCTCGAGGAGGGAGGAGGAGGAGGAGGAGGAGGAGGAGGAGGAGGAGGAGGAGGAGGAGGAGGAGGCTCTCGGAGGAGGAGGCGGAGGAGGAGGAGGAAAGAGGGAGGGAGGAGGGAGGGGGGGGGAGGCGAGGAGGAGGATGAAGGTCCCCCTGGCCCAAGCTGCCCACAGCTCTTTGCTCAACGGTGGAGCCCCTGACCCTGGGCCTCGTGAGGGGTGCTCCGGAGGCCGTTGGGGCTTCCGTGGAAATCCGGGGGGGCACCGTGGGCCGGGGGCACTCCCAGCAACACCCGGCCTTCTCCCTCGTGGACATGAACGTCTTGCTGCCGTCCGCGAGGGCGCCGGTGTAGTGGATCGTCACGTTGTCGCCCCTGGACGGGAACGTCTTCTCGTCCCCAGGGGACACGGTCTCCACCTCGAAGGGCGGCAGCTCCGCGGCCTCCTCGCAGGCGAGCAGCGTCACGGACATCAGGAGCGGCACGCCTGCCATCGGGTGGTTCAGGTCGAGCGTCGCCTCGTCGCCGCCGATGCCCACGACCCTGGCAAACATCTCGGCGCCCGAAGGCCCAGCCACCTTCATCTGCGTCCCCACCGTGGAGCCGGGCGGCAGCTCGCTGGCCGGCACCTTCAGCACCATGTCCTCCGCCCTCGCCCCGAAGGCGTCGTCGCCCTCCACGCGCAGCTCCCTGCTCTCGCCGGCCCGCATGCCCAGCACGCCTCGGTCGAGGCCGGGGAAGACCAGGCCCTCGCCGCAGACGAACTCCATGGGGTCCTCCCGGGTCCTCGAGTCGACGACGCTGCCGTCGTCCGCTCGTCTCAGCGAGAAGGCCACCTTCTGGGGAAACCCAAGAGCACCCAGACTGCCACTCCCCGGACCTCTCCTGGACTGCGTCCTGATCCAATCTTCGAGGCGGATCCTGCGGTGGCGACGAGGGACGCCCAGGAGGCCTAGCGGGGCAAGAACGAGGCTAGGGTAGCGGCGTCGGTCAGTACCTGTCCCTCCTCGGACCTTCAAGTTCATGCCGGCCGCAGCAACGGGCTCGGCCGCGAGCGCCATCCTCGAGCACCGCGGACGCGGCGCGCCTGCCGCGAGCGCAGCCGCGGCCCCCGCTGCCGGCCGCGGCGCGCCGCGCGTCCCGCCCAACGCCGCCCAGGCGGCGGCGAGGGCGAGCGCCGCGAGCAGCGGCGCCGCCGCGCCGGCGCCCGCGCGCCCGCGGCGCCGGCGCAGCGCCGGCGCGCCAGGCATGCACGGGGGGCGCGCGCGCGTGGCGGCCGCGGCGGGAGCCCAGGACCACCGCGCCGCGCGAGGCTCCGGGATTGGGCCGACGGGGGGGGGGAGGAGGCAGCGCAACTGCTGGCACGTGCTGCACAAAAACCACAGCAGGAAATCCAGCACGATCCCAGTTGGGGGTCTTCCTACTTCCCGAGCTACTTGAAGCAGTTCTGAGCAAAGCAACGCAAAGCAATGCTTGGGATTGCTGGGCATTGCTTGGCGTTGTTTGTAATTGCTTGGAATCGTTGCTTGACATTTGCCTTGGCATTACTTGACATGTGCCTTGGCATTACTTGGTGTTGGTTGGCATTGATTGGCCCTGCTTGCCTGGCATTGCTAGGTATTGCTCGGCACTGCTTGACGTCAGTTGGCATTGCACTGCGCTGCTTGGGATTGGTCGGCACAGTTTGGCATTGGCTTAGCATTGCCTTGGCCCTGCTTGGCGCTGCTTGGCGTCGTTGCTTGGCACTGTTTGGCAGTCTGTGGCATTGCCTTGGCAGCCGACGCGGAGGCCAGACCGCAGCGTGCGCACTGGCCTGCGGGCACTGCGGGCACTGTCTCTACGCCGGCTCGAGAACCGCAACAGGGCCATCCACCGATCGGCCTGGCAGCACGGGGGGGTCTTTTCTGCTTCCTGGTTGCGTGTTGCATCGGCCCCTAACCTTAAAATTATCATGGCGAAGGACCCAACCATATGAACTTGTGAGTGCGTGCCGCTCTCGGTGGAGCTCCCCACGGGGCCACGACCCTCGTGAGGGGTGTGCCGAAATGGGCAGCGGGACGCAGGCGGACCCTGCCGCTGGGGCCTTCGGTGGAGCTCCCTGTGGGGCCACGATCCTCGTGAGGGGTGCCGAAATGAGCTGGGGGACGCAGGCGGACCCTGCCGCGGGGGCATTCGGTGGAGCTCCCTATGATCCTCGTGAGGGGTGTGCCGCACTGAGCTGGGGGACGCAGGCGGACCCTGCCGCGGGGGCCTTCGGTGGAGCTCCCTGTGGGGCCACGATCCTTGTGAGGGGTATGCCGCAATGAGCTGGGGGACGCATGCGGACCCTGCCGCTGGGGCCTTCGGTGGAGCTCCTTATGGGGCCACGATCCTCGTGAGGGGTGTGCCGAAATGAGCTGGGGGACGCAGGCGGACCCTGCCGCTGGGGCCTTCAGTGGAGCTCCCTGTGGGGCCACGATCCTCGTGAGGGGTGTGGCGAAATGAGCTGGGGTACGCAGGCGGACCCTGCCGCTGGGACTTCGGTGGAGCTCCTTATGGGGCCACGATCCTCGTGAGGGGTGTGGCGAAATGAGCTGGGGTACGCATGCAGACCATGCCGCTGGGGCCTTCGGTGGAGCTCATTAGGGGCCGCGATCCTCGTGAGGGGTGTGCCGGAATGAGCTGGGGGACGCATAGGGACCCTGCCGCTGGGGCCTTCAGCGGAGCTCCGTATGAGGCCACGATCCTCGTGAGGGGTGTGCCAAAATGAGCTGGGAGACGCAGGCGGACCCTGCCGCGGGGGCCTTCGGTGGAGCTCCCTGTGGGGCCACGATCCTCGTGAGGGGTGTGCCGAAATGTGCAGGGAGGACGCAGGCGGACACTGCCGCTGGGGCCTTCGGTGGAGCTCCCTATGTGGCCACGATCCTCGTGAGGGGTGTGCCGACATGGGCGAAGGGTCACATGCGGACCCTGCCGCTGGGGCCTCCGGTGGAGCTCATCATGGGGCCACGATCCTCATGACGGGTGTGCCGAAATGAGCCGGGAGACGCAGGCGGACCCTGCCGCCGGGGCCTTCGGTGGAGCTCCCGATGGGGCCACGATCCTCGTGAGGGGTGTGCCGAAATGGGCGAGGGGACGCATGCGGACCCTGCCGCTGGGGCCTTCGGTGGAGCTCCCTGTGGGGCCACGATCCTCGTGAGGGGTGTGCCGAAATGGGCGAGGGGACGCATGCGGACCCTGCCGATGGGGCCTTCGGTGGAGCTCCCTATGCGGCCACGATCCTTGTGAGGGGTGTGCCGAAATGGGCGAGGGGACGCAGGTGGACCCTGCCGCTGGGGCCTTCGGTGGAGCTCATGATGGGGCCACGATCCTCATGAGGGGTGTGCCGAAATGAGCTGGGAGACGCAGGCGGACCCTGCCGCTGGGGCCTTCGGTAGAGCTCCCTATGTGTCCACGATCCTCGTGAGGGGTGTGCCGAAATGGGCGAGGGGACGCATGCAGACCCTGCCGGTGGGGCCTTCGGTGGAGCTCCCTGTGGGACCGCGATCCTCGTGAGGGGTGTGCCGCACTGAGCTGGGGGACGCAGGCGGACCCTGCCGTTGGGGCCTTCGGTGGAGCTCACAAAAGGTTAAGGTTTTCGCGTCTGGTGGCGTGTTGCATGGACCCCCAACCTTAAAAAAACTGACTGCCCATGTTGGACATACGTTGACAAATCTCTCTTCTTGTGAACGATGAGCCACGCCTGCATCGCAGGGCGAGGGGGGGGGGCTGGGAAAGGGGCATGACACTCCTTGACAGAAGCCCTGCCCCGATTGCTGGTCGCCGTGACCGCCGCGGCGACCTCCAAAACCGACCCGGAGGTTTGGCTTGGGGTCGGATCTCACGCAACGAGCCGCTACAGCCGAGGCGTTGACCTAAGGAACCCCAAATAAGGAACGAGGCCCCTTTTCCCATAAGTTGAACCTCGATTTCCCATGGAAAACCTCAGGAAAACCCTAAGCAACTTTTGAAACAATCAAGGAACACCGAGCCCCTCCCCAACGCAAAGGGTTCCTTCTTCAGGACCCCGACTGTACGCCCGATCGGAACCGACAAAGGGCGATCGGCCAATCGGATTTGCAGGGCGGGGGGTCCGCGCGCGCGCGTTCTGGCGTCGCGGCCGCGCTCCGCGTGGTCTGGGGGGGGGGGGGCCAGTGCGGGGAGGGGACGGAGGGAGTGAGGGGGAAGAGGTTCTCCTTCTCCCCCGTCCTCCATTTGGCCCCGTCCTCCCTCCGTCCCCTCCTGGCCTCCTCGCCCTCGTCCTCGCCCTCGTCCCTCCGCCCTCTCCTCCTCGCGCTCCTCTCCCTCCTCCGCTCCGTCGCACCTCACGCAGCGGCCTCCCTCCGCACCTCTTCACGCCGGCGGGCCACCCCACGAGCTGCTGGCGGGCGGATTGCCCGCCGCCGCCCGCGGCGCGCGGGCCAGCACGGTGGTTTCCAGCCTCCTGTTCGCCACCAGCGCCACCTCCCGCACGTCCTGGGGGAACATGAAGCGTTGTGGATGCCATGACAATGGACACTCTAACAATCCTAGCATTGAGCCAAAGATGTGTTTAAACTGCGTAGAACATGTTCGAAACATGTCTCAAACATGAGTTTGACACATTTAAGACATGTCTGAAACACCTGTGGGACATCTGGAAGTTATTTGGCGGCACGCTTCCTCCCCACTATAATCGACTGCCACAGATCAGGCGGCACGAGCAGAAGTTCCCGGAGGTCTGCGCGACGTTGTCGGCTCGGCGCCGGGGCCCCGCCCCCCGGGGCACGCGCGGAGCGCGCCCGGGGCGGCGGGCCCCGGAGGCGCCGCCCGTGGCGGGGGCGCTGGCGCCGCCGCGCGGAGCTTCAAGACTTACGTCGGGCGTGTCCCCCTACAGGGGGATTTTCGACGAAAAAAAAAAAAAAAAAATGCCCCAAAAAGGTCAAAAAGTATTCAAAAAATAATCCCCAGGCTATCTTTGCCATTTCTTGCTATTTTGGAGGTATTTTTTCCCCCTGTAGGGGGACAGGCCCGACTTCATCCAAGACATCGTGCGTGTGCCTTTTCTTGTTCGCCTCGCCACGTCCGTGCACAGTCCCCGCAGCCGCTCGAGCTGCCGGCCCTTGAGCCCCTCGAAGTCCGCGCGGTTCTTGCAGCAGTCCTCGGGCATCGCTTCGCCGATCCCCGCCCCCGGCGGCGCGGCCGGCCCCCTGGCCCTACGGGCCGATCTCTGCCCCCCCCCCCCATCCCCCCCGGACGGGGATATCAGGCCGTTGCCTTCGGGCTCCGAGGGGCGTGTCCCCAACTGGGGTGGCAATTTGGCGGGGGCCTCGAAGGGGATGGGGACGGGGATGGGCTTTGTGGGCCCCGGAAACGGCAGGGCCGTTTTTTCACCGTTTCCAAAAAAATGTCCCTTGAAAATGGAAACGGCAAAAAAAAGGCGACCGGAAACTGCAAAAAAACAGCAAAACGGAACCGGTAAAAAAACGGCCCTGTCGTTTCCAGGGCCCACGAAGGGGATGGGGGTGGGGATCGGTGAAACGATACCGAGTCCTTGAACGTCAGCACCACGCGCGCGCCCGGGGCCAGCAGCCCCGCGGCGGCGGCCACGAGCTCGACGGCGCTGTCGCAGGGCAGGTTGGCGTCGCAGACGAGCACGTCCAGCACGGCACCCTCCTGGCGGGGGGCAGGAAGGAGGTGCCGATACCGCGGCTCCCCCGACCTCTCAGGATAAAGTCGGGCGTGTCCCTGAACAGGAGGACTGTTCAAAAATAGTCAGGTTGACATCAATTGTTCGACTACGTTTGACTATTTTGGAGCATGTTTTGACTGCTCCATTTCTCGTCCAAAAAATCCGCCTGCAGGAGGACACGCCCGACCTAACCTCAGGCAGTGCGTCCTGGCCCGAGGCTCCAGGCGAACCCAGCCGCGGCGGAGAGGGGGCCTCCCGGGAGGCGGGCGGAAGCGAGGCGATGGACGCCGGCATCGGTACACGTCGTTCATTTCTAATCGTGCTCATTTCTAATTGTGTTCGTCTCTAACTGTTCCCGGCCCCCCGGTGACCAGGAAGAGGCCCAGAATAGAACAATTAGAAACGAAAGAGCCGCCTTGGCCCCCCTAAAAAAACAAAGATATCTCGAATTAGAAATGAGCAGCGTGCACCTCCTCCTCCTCCTCCTCCTCCTCCTCCTCCTCCTCCTCCTCCTCCTCCTCCTCCTCCTCCTCCTCCTCCTCCTCCTCCTCCTCCTCCTCCTCCTCCTCCTCCTCTTCCTCCTCCTCCTCCTCCTCCTCCTCCTCCGCCTCCTCCTCCTCCTCCTCCTCCTCCTCCTCCTCCTCCTCCTCCTCCTCCTGCTCCTCCCCCGCGGCGGCGGAGGGGCGCGGCGGCCCCCCTGGGCCCGGGCTTGTCTCTGTGGGCTTCCTCCGACTGCGCCCGCGAGCCGTCGAGGCCGCACTCGGGGACAGATCTGCAACCTCTGCGAGGGGGAGCGGGCGCCCGCCCTTGAAGGGGCCCTGGGACACACAACTAAATCCGCACAGATAGAAGGATTCCCCCTATTTTCTCACGTTTTCTGGCTTTTCGTCTTCCCCCCCACGTCCCATAGTTTCCCATATTTTCCTGGGGAAATCGACGATTCATTGTGTCTGTGTGTTGTTTCCCCTCCGGAGTCCTCGGCGCGGGGGGCGCGCCCGCCTCGCCCCCCGCGCCGAGGGTGCTCATCCTCGGGTCGGGCAGGTCCCCCTGCGGGCGGCTTCTGGACGACAAGTAGCAGACAGCCCAAAAAACACTCCAGACTAGTCCAAAGAGAACTCCCAAGATCGTCCCCGGGCGATTTTTCTGTTTGCGGTTGTTGCATACTCCTCACTGTCGAGGGACAGGCCCGACTTAAGTTGATCCCCGAGTTCCCATCCTCTGCTGACCGGCACAACTCTTCGGGAGGAACTGGGGGAAGGGGGGCGATAAAGGACTTGCGAACTCCTCCTCCTCCTCCTCCTCCTCCTCCTCCTCCTCCTCCTCCTCCCCTCCTCCTCCTCCTCCTCCCTCCTCCTCCTCCTCCTCCTCCTCCCTCCTCCTCCTCCTCCTCCTCCTCCTCTCTCTCCTCCTCCTCCTCCTCTCTCCTCCTCCTCCTCCTCCTCCTCCCTTCCCTGAGATCCGACCTTGGAGTCCCGAAACGGTGCGGTGGCAGACCGTGCGGTGACCTCGAAATCCCCCAAGACCTCACCGCGCGGTCCGTCACCGCACGGTCTTGGGACCTCGGAGGCCCCAGTCGCCCGAGACGTCCTCGGAGAACGACCCCGAGCCCCAAAGCCGTGCGGTGACCCCGAATCCCCACCGACTCACAACACGGTGTGGTCACCACCCCGTTTGGGGGCCCCCGACCGACGCTGCGGGCAAGTGCCTCGCGAGCACCACGGCCGGAGCCCCAGAGCCCCATCTTCTGGGGCACATATGCGAGCCCGACCGGCCCGCAGTGGCCACCGGGGCCCGAGGGCGCGTGGCACCTGGTAGAGGGAAGCAGTCACTGAACACTTTATCTTCCCCCCAAACTCAACGCTGGCGCGCGCGGGGGAGGCGCAGCTCGTCAGACCCACCGCCAACCTTGAACATTGGGGGGGGGAGGGGGAGGCGTGGACAGCTGACTGTGGCAGGAAGGTTCGCTATATTTTTTTGTCCGAGGCCTGTCGCCCGGCGTGGAAAAGCCAGATCTGGCTTTCCACTAGGGGAACGAAGAATGACATAAAAATAAAAATTCTGAGGTCCGCACGGATTTCTCGGATCCGCGCTGGAGCTCCCTGGCGGCGCCTCCGGCGCTGCCCCTGGCGCTGCCCCTGGCGCTGCCCCTGGCGCGCTCCGCGCGCCAGGGGGACGGGGTCCCGCGCCGATCCGAGAAATCCGCGCGCAGCTCCGAGTGTTCATGTCTATGCCATTCTTCGCTCCCCCAGTGGAAGAGCCAGATCTCAGGCTCCCTCCTGCGGGCCCATTCTAGGCAACCGCTGATAAGGCAACATTTGGATGAGTTGCCGCGCCGAGGCCACACAGGGTTCGCCGCAGAGGTGCGCAAGACACAATTGGGGTCGCAGCGCAAATCTGGGCTTCGCGCGGAAGCCCGTCCTCGCCCGGCCACGGCTCCCCCAGAGATCCGATGTCATGATTTTTTCGATACGGGGTCCCCGGAAGTCTCGACCCATTCCCCAGGACCGGCTTTGCATCCCGAGTCGTTTTTTGACGGTCCCGGGGCCCGGCGAGGGCCCCTCGAGGCCGAAAAATACGAAAAACCTCCGTCGTGGTGTCTTCCATGCTTTTGATCTCTCGGTCCTGGCGCAACAGCCGCAGGGCCTCCAGCCACGTCGTGCGGAGGTGGCGGATGCGGCCCCTGCCGGCGGCGCCGGCCAGGCCGGGCGCCAGCTCGGCGGGGTCCACGGCGAGCACCTCGCGGCAGCCCCACTCGGCCGCCAGGCAGGTGCTCCAGCCCCCGGGCGCCGCGCCGACGTCCAGGGCGCGCCGCGGGGGGCTGGTGCGCAGCTCCTCGGCTTGGGTCGGCGAAGGTCGGCTTGGGTCAGCTCCTCCTCCTCCTCCTCCTCCTCCTCCTCCTCCTCCTCCTCCTCCTCCTCCTCCTCCTCTCCTCCTCCTCCTCTCTCCTCCCTCCTCTTCCTCCTCCTCCTCCTCCCTCCTCCTCCTCCTCCTCCTGCTCCTCCTCCTCCTGCTCCTCCTCCTCCTCCTCCTCCTCCTCCTCCTCCTCCTTCTCCTCCTCCTCAAAACGAGCGTTTCCCCCTACAGGCGGATTTTGGACGAAGAATTGAACATATTCCAAAAACATCCCCCAACAAATATCAAAAGTAGTCGCAAAAGCGTACCCAAACTATTGTTTGACTAATTTTTGCATACTCCTCCTGTAGAGGGACAGGCCCGACTCAATCCTCGGCCCAGCCGCTGCGCAGCAGCGCCTCTGCGAGCTTCGCCTGCGCCCGGCAGAGCCGCGGCTCGGCGAGCCGCGGGGGCGGGCCGCCGAACCTCGCGGCGCCCGCGCTGATGGAGGCCTCCCTGCGCGCGAGGCCGGCGTGGTAGACCCCGTCCGCGAACACCAGGGAGGCCGTGTGCGTGGCGCCGGCGAAAGCGAGGGGGCAGCCCGCCTGGGACAGGTGGTCGACGACGCCCTGCTCCAGGTACCGCGGGTGCACCTGCACCCGGGCGGCGCAGGCGTCCCCCACCGTGCGCAAGAGCGCCGCGAGGCGGTCCAGCGCAGCGCGGAGCGTCATGTGCGGCAGTGGCTCCACAGCAAACGCGCGCACCACGGCCTCGCGCACGGTGGCGTCCCCTTGCAACCTCTGCAGCAGCACAGCTGCGTCAGCACCAGGCTCAGGCCGCACCACCAGCAGCCAGTCTGAGGAGCCCTGGAGTGGCATCGATGCGCTGAAGTCTGTCCCTGCAAAGGCCTCCCGGCAATACTGCTCCAGGCGCTCCATCCGAGCCTTGCCCCGACCATCGCATTGCAGCACCAGGCGCACTGGCCCTAAGCCTTCGGCTCGTGCAGCGCCGGCGGCGGCCGAGCACTGAAAAATACGCTTGCCATGAACCGCCTGATGCTCCTCGGAGACGACCCAGCTGGACACCAAGAAGCGACGCTGGCGGCCACAGAGCTCCCAGTGCCCCTGTGCGACAATCGCGTCGCCGACGCGGAGCCGAGGACGGCGCCACGTCGAGTTGCTCCCCCCCAGCTCCGCGGCAAACTTGAGCCAACGCCGCAGGCCCTGGTCGCTGGCGGCCTCCAGCACCAGCGCCTCGCAAAACACCTGCCACCTGTGGCGCGACTTGCGCAGCACCCGGGCCGCGATCTCCTCCTCGGCGGCCTCGGCCTCGGCGCCGATGGCGCTGGCATCGAGGGCCCGCTTCCCTGGTGCACGCGGCGCGCCGGCCGCGAGCACAGCCGCGGCCCCCGCTGCCGGCCGCGGCGCGCCGCGCGCGGCGCCCGCCGCCGCCCAGGCGGCGGCGAGGGCGAGCGCCGCGAGCAGCGGCGGCGCCGCCCAAGCGCCCGCGCGCCCGCGCCGCCGGCGCAGCGGCGAGGGCGCGCCGGGCATGCACGGGGGGCGCGCGCGCGTGGCGGCCGCGACGGGAGCCCAGGCCCACCGCGCCGCGCGGGGCCTCAGGGGTTGGGCCGGCGGGACCAGGGAGGAAGACGAGGAGGAGGAGGAGGAGGAGGAGGAGGAGGAGGAGGAGGAGGAGGAGGAAAGAGGAGGAAGGAGGAGGAGGAGGTAGGAGGAGGAGGAGGAACGAGGAGGAAGGAGGAGGAGGAGGAACGAGGAGGAGGAACGAGGAGGAGGAAAGAGGAGGAAAGAGGAGGAAAGAGGAGGAGGAGGAAAGAGGAGGAAAGAGGAGGAGGAGGAGGAAGGAAGGAAGGAGGAGGAGGAGGAGGTGGACGAGGAGGGGAGGCGAGGCAACGGAGCGGCGGGTGGGGCGGCGCAGGGGCGGCGGCCAGGGCCACGCGGCAGCCCTCGGCGGCCCGCGCGCGGACCCCCGAGGGTCGACGCGTCCGTGCCGTGCTCCGCGCAGCCCGCGCAGGGCCGCCGAGGGCTGCTGCGCGGCCTTAGGGCGCCGCCTCGGCGCCGCCTCGGCGCCGCCGGGCCACGCCCCAGATCCTGCCAGGGGCAGCATCAGGGAGGGCCCTTCCCTGACTACCTACCAGGCCACCCCAACCCAACCCGAAGACCCGAATTTGACCCGAAGTTCGGGTTGGGGGGGTTCGGGCTCTATGTGTTTTTTTCAATGTTCCCCGACCCCCCCCCCACCCCACTGGAAATCGAGGATGAATTTGGACCTTCGGGTTGGGTTGGGGTGGTTTGGTGGGTGGTGATTCCCTGACCCCATCGCGTCGTGAAAAGTAGCGACGGTCGGACGGGGCTAGGGCGAGGATCAATCCGTTCCAGAGCGTGCCCGAACGCTCGCAGAGCGTTCCGCAACGCTCTGAGAAGGCCGCGGCACCCGAAACGTCCTCCAGAGCCGCCGAATCTCAGGAGGCAATTGCCGGCACGTGCCAAAGAAAAACAATAGCAAGAGCTCCAGCGCGATCCCCTTCTGCCCAAGCAACTCGAAGGGGGGGAAGCTTCAGGATTCCTGCGCCTGGAGCGCGGCAATCTCACCAGCTCGGCCAGGGTCGGCGATCCGTCGGAGGAGCATGCCTCTTGAAACGCGTTTCTGGATCATGTGGACGGGGCCTGCTTGCAGCCCACTTCCCACAGGTCTCACGCGCCACAGCCTCGACCAGCGCACTCGAGCCATCCGCAGAGTTGCCGAGGACCAAGGCGGCCGTCTGAAATAGCAAAACCCCTCCCGCCCCCCACCCATCCCCCAACATGACAAGTGTCCAGAAGGTCTACCATCCAACTGCCTGGACGTGCTGACTAGACGCGCTGAAAGAGTTGCGCGAAAGATCCAGCGGTTCTGACGAAACCAAAGCATGCTCATACCGCTACTCCCGGGACCCCTCCTGGGGTGCGTCCTGGCGAGAACTTCGAGGCGACTACAGCGGTTGCGACGAGGGACCCCCAGGAGGCCCAAACATGCGATCGGCACCTGCTCCTCATCTGCATTATCCAAGGCTTCCACGGATGCGCCGCGACCCGCCTGGCCCTGGCCGCAGCACTGCTGTGAGGCCAGCGCCACCAAGGTCCGGCACGGCTGGCCGCTGCACCCAGCCAGCGGGCTCCCCTGCCTGGGGCCGGACCCCAGCGGCACCGGGCGCGGGGCCACGGAACTCCCCTCGGCGGTGGACAAACCTCCCTTTAGTAAACCTCCCCTTAATGAAAACGGCCTGGGACCGAAACCGACGGACCTGGACCCGCAAAAATCACGGCCGCGACGCCCCCGCGCGAACCGAAAACGGCCAATTCGCTAATCGACGTGTCAGGGTAGGAGGTCTATCCACCCCCGATCCCCAAGCACCGACAGGCAGAATGTGGCCCGCATCTGGGATAGTTGTTGTGCTTTGGGCGTGGGTTGGAATCGAGCGACAACTCCAAGGCGGCGGGACCGGAGGAGGGCCCGGAAGAAGACGAGCGGGCGAGGGCCCGAGGAAGGGCACCGCGGCGGAGGCACGGCGGCCAGCGAAGAACCAAGCAGGTGCAGCCTCTCACTTTGAAGGTCCAGTCCTGTGGCGGTCAGATACCGCGGAGCAGCTGCGTCTCTACCTTTTCACCCGCGGCACCACCACCGTCTTGATGTGCCTCCCCCGCCCCACAGCAAGACAGGAAGATGTGGGCGGCGCTCGACCCTGACGCTTCGGATGTCAGGTTCCGCCACGGCTTGGCGATCGGCGTAGCCCTACTGTCGACGATAGCTGGCGTTTTAACAACAGCAAAAGACACAGCGCAAAGGGCACAGCTAATCAATCAGATTGGTCATCGTCAAGAGCTATGCTGGCAGACGGCTGGACAAGAGGTGCATTGTCCTCCTCCTCCTCCTCCTCCATGAGCGCCGTCGTCACAAGGTGCAGCTGCTCACGGCCAGACAACCACGTCCTACGCGGCAGCGTGGGGTACTCAAACCAAGGGGCTGACAATAACCACTCATGGTAACCAGAGCCTGGAACGTGAAAACATCACTGGGGGCAGGGGACGCATGCAAGACAGTGGCACGGTCGAACGGGTCGAGCCTCGCCAATGGGTGCGTTTGTCCCAAGATGCCTCCCACTTCAGCATGCGACTCAGGCTGCGTAGTCCCTGGAGCCCGAGATCTGCAGGTGCATTCACGCATCAGGTTCGCAACCCCTGTTCTGGAATAGCGGCCACACCGAACACAGAAAACAAATCCGCCGACCCTTCGGCGTGCGTGAAAATTCACCGACGTCGTCGTCGTCGCCAGTCCGAAGATTACCCCAGTGCGACCCTACCTAGAAGTTGGAGCCCCTAGGAAAGCAGCATTAGTTGCTATGCTATGCTATGCTATGCCATGCTATGCTGCGCTATGCTATGCTATGATATGTTATGGTGTGCTATGCTGCGCTATGCTATGCTCTGCTATGCTATGTTATGCTAAGCTATGAAATGTCATGATGCGATGTGTTATGCTAAGCTATCTTATGATAGGATATATTATGCTAAGCTGCGCTATGGTATGATATGCGATGTTATACTATGTTATGCTATGCTATGATATGCTACACTGTGCTATGCTGTGCTATGTGCTGTGCTGCGCTATGCTATGCTATGATATAGCATGCTATGCTGCGCTATGCTATGTTATGCTGGGCTATGCTATGATATGCTGTGCTGCGTTATGCTATGCTACGCTATGCTATGCTGTGCTCTGCTGTGCTAAAGCTCAGCGAAGCTAGGATGAAGGTAAGCTAAGCTAAGATAAACCTGAGTTAAGATGAAGCTAAGCTAAGCTATGATGAAATAAGCTAAGTTAAGATGAGATAAGCAACGCTAAGCTAAGGGGACGTAACTGGGGGAACCGCGGGGCGGATACTGGGGGAACCGCCCGGGGCGGTGCGCACTGCCCGGGCCCCTTTAAGAAAGAGAGTAAGAACCCTCTAGGCAGAGCCTAGGTAGGGAAAAAATGAGGAACGACCAGAGAAACCAAACGTCGTAGTTAAGTCGATTCCGTGCCCTTTCTCCCTTCCCTGACCCGGCTTCCACTGGCCTCCCCTCTTCGCCTTGTGCCTCGTCCGCCTACTCCTCCCCAGCTCTCCTAGTCGCGCTGATCCTCTCCCTTCTGTCTCCTCCTCCTCCTCCTCCTCCACATCCTCGTTCTCCTTCTCCCGGTTCACCGGCAACCCCGTCCCTGCCCCTCCTCCGTGGAGGCACCGACCCCCGAGCTCCGCAATCACGCTGCGCGTGCGGCGATGCTGCTTTCTGACGTGTGCTCATCTCGGCGCCCTTCTGTACCTCTTGATTGTGACGCGACCGCCAGCCTGGCCGCCAGAGCCCGGGCGGAGCCGCGCGGCTTGCACGCGGAGCGAGGCGGGAGAGGCCGAGGAGGCCGAGGAGGCCGAGGAGGGAGAGCGAGGAGAGCGAGGGAGAGGAGGAGGCCGAGAGGAGGAGGCCGAGGAGGAGGAGGAGGAGAGGGGGAAGGCCGAGGAGAGAGAGGGAGGAGGCCGAGGAGCGGAGGCCGAGGAGGGGGGGGGAGCGGGAGGAAGAGCGGGCGGAGGCCGAGGAGGGGGAGCGGGCCGAGGAGGGGGGAGACCGAGGAGAGAAGCAGGGAGTGAGCGAGCAGGGAGCGCGAGACGAGAGGGAAAGCAAAGCATTGGCCAGTCGGCGCGGCGCCCCGCAGCCCGCGGGCGGCGCCGGGCGGCCCGCGGGCCGCGGGTGCTCTCAGGAGACCACGCAGTCCTCCTGGCCGTGGCGCAGCCCCGGGCCAGCGCGTCGCGGGGGGCCATCGCCCATCGCCTCGGGGGCGCGCGGGGGGCCTCCTCCTCAGGGGGGAAGGAGCTCCCTCCTCCTCCCCTCCTCCCTCCTGCCTCCTCCTGCTCCTACTCCTCCTCCTCCTCCTCCTCCTCCTCCTCCTCCTCCTCCTCCTCCTCCTCCGCCTCCTCCCGTCCTCTCCTCCTCCTCCCTCCTCTCCTCTCCTCCATCCTCCTCCCCTCCTCCTCCTCCTCCTCCTCCTTCTGCTCCTCTTTCTCCTCCTCATCTCCTCCTCCTCCTCCTCCTCCTCCTCCTCCTCCCCTCCTCCTCCTCCTCCTCCTCCTCCTCCTCCTCCTGCTCCTCCTCCTCCTCTTCCTCCTCGTCCATTCCTTGTCCTTCGAAACAGCTCCGCCCTGTCGCACCCCGAGGCCGGTCGAAAGGGCGGGCCGGGCGTTTCGCCTGAGAGCTCATCACCATTCATGTTATCACCCTGATGCTTAAGCATTGGCAAGAGCTTCACAGATGGATGGGGCGGGTCGTTTTCAAAATACGGCTCTCGCCCCAGCGCCGCGCACATGCGTTTTAACGATGTGCAAGAGTTTCACGGCGTCAGGGTGGGTGGTTTTCAAAATATGGCTCTCGCCTTAGCGCCGCGCACAATCGTTTTAAAAATGTGCAAGAGTGTCACGGGTTGAGGGCGGGTGGTTTTCAAAATATGGCTCTCGCCTTAGCGCCGCGCACAATCGTTTTAAAAATGTGCAAGAGTGTCACGGGTTGAGGGCGGTTCGATTTCGAACTGTGGCTCTCGCCTTAGCGCCGCGCACATTCTTTTTTACAAATTGCAAGAATTTCATGGGTTCCCCATGGTCAACGTACCAGAAATGGTGTTGGAAAGATTCGAGACCATGAGGGTGCAACAATTACGTTGGTTCGCGGTGTTGAAGTCCCAGGAACGGCGTTCTGGCACGATTCAGGGTCGTCAAGACGCACCAGTCAAGTTGACAGGCGGCGTTGGAGTCCCGAGAACAATGTTTTGGCATGTTTCAGGGTCCTCAAACGGTTGTCTTCCAACGAGGCAGTTCCCTCTGTGGAAATGAAACCTTGTAGGGGCCTGTGAAGATGGAGCTTGGAGGGACAGTGTATTCCAACATCGTTGATGACTCTTGGGTTTACACTGGTCCTCCTCCTCCTCCTCCTCCGCCTCCTCCTCCTCCCCCTCCTCCATATACATAATGACACCAGAGAAAAACCCAATCAGAATCTGTTCAAGGCTATAGGGCTGTGGGGCTATAGGGCTATAGGGCTATACGGCTCTCGGGCTATAGGGTTATAGGGCTATAGGGCTATGCGACTATAGGGCTATAGGGCTATAGGGCTATAGGGCTATAGAGCTATAGGGCTATAGGGCTAAAGAGCTATAGGGCCATAGGGCCATAGGGCTATAGGGCTATTAGGGCTATGGGGCTATAGAGCTATAGGGCTATAGGGCTATAGGGCTATAAGGCTAAAGGCTATAGGGCTATAGGGCTATAGGACTATAGGGCGGCTACTGGGCACCCGGGCACCTGGGCACCCGGGCACCCGGGCACCTGGGTACCTGGGTGTGCCGCCGAAATCGGCGCCCCACCTCACCTAAGCATATGAATCCGCTACTGTAGGACCCCTACAGAGGCAAGCTCTGATTGGTGAATTTCCCCCTGTCGCACCCGGAGGCCAGTTTTTAAGGCGGGCTGGACGTTTCGCCTGAGACTTCCTCACCATTTATGACCCTGAAGCTTAAAAAATGGCAACAGCTTCACAGATGGAGGGCGGGTGGTGTTCAAAATGTGGCTCTCGGCTTAGCACCGCGCACATAAGAGCTTCACGGATTGAGAGCGACCCGTTTTCAATATGTGGCTCTCGCCTTAGCGCCGCGCACATCCTTTCTAAAAATTGCAAGATCTCACGGATTGAAGGCGGTTCCTTTTCAATATGTAGCTCTCGCCTTGGCGCCGCGTACATTCGTTTTAAACATGTGCAGGAGCTTCACAGATTGAGGGCGGTTCCTTTTCAAAATGTGGCTCTCGCCTTAGCGCCGCGCACGATCGTTAGAAACAGATGCCAGGTTTTCACGGATTCCCATGATCAGCGTACCAGTAATGATGCTTTGGAAGGCTTCGGAATTATGAGAGCGCAGCAGTTACGTGGATTCGCGTTGTTGACGTCCCAGGAATGGCGTTCTGGCGCGAATCACGATTGCCAAAAAGCAACAGTCAGGTTAATCCGTAGCGAGGGAATCCCGAGAACGATCTTTTGGCATGCTTCAGGGTCTTCAAACGGCTGTCTTCCAGCGAGGCAGTTTCCTCAGTGGAAATGATGAACCCTAGTAGGAACCTATGAAGAGGGAGCTTGGAGGGAGGGTTTCTTCCAACATCGTTGATGACTCTTGGTTTTACACTGGTCCAACTCCTCCTCCTCCTCCTCCTCCTCATCCTCCCCCTCCTCCTCCTCCTCCTCCGCCTCCTCCTCCTCCTCCTCCTCCTCCTCCGTAGCCATTTTGGCTCAAGATGCTTTGTTCCACAGGGGAACAAGTGGATACCGCTAGTCCGCGGCTAGTGCCAGGGCTTTTGAGCCCGACAGCTTTGTTCAACTCTCCGTGTGCCTCCTGCAGCCCGCAGGTGAGCTTCCTCTCGTCCCGCCTGACGACATGGGGAAGCATGTGGCGGCGCGTGGCTACGTGTCTTGTCCTCATGACGGTTGTCGCTACAAGTGGAATTGGAAGCGGCACACGACATGCTGGCAGTGCGAAGGTCTTCTGCGTCCTGTCGGGGGCCAGCCACCACCTCGTGATGCAGGGTCGTGGAGCCGTGGACCGCCCGCACTACCTGGCGCAGCACAGCCAGGACACCCACCAAGCCCCTTCGTGCGGCCGCCCCCAGGGCAGTGGGCTCCTCCAGGGGCGGCAGCCACGGCGGCCACCCTCGGCGACGGCAGTGCCAACCCGTTCGCTCCCTCGACCGACCAGCTGTTCGAGGCTTTGCTGCGTCGCGCCCCGCAGCATGGCGAGCGCTTGGCGGCGCTCAAGAAGGAGTTCGAGGACGCTCCGCCGCCAGCTGCCGCCGCCCCAGTCAAGCCCAGCCTCGAGCGTGAGAGAGAGGCACAGCGGCTGGCAGTGGCTGCTCGCAAGGCCGATGAATCCCTTGCGAAGGCGATCGCTCACGAACAGGAGTGCACCGACTGGCTGGCACGGGCTCGGGCGGCTGTGGAGCAGGCTGCGCAAGATGCAGCTGACGCCAGGCTGGCCCATGAGCAGCAGTTGGAGCAAGACCTCCAGCGCCTCAAGAGTCGAGAAGGTGCTGCACGTGTCGCCGCTGCCGCCGATCCCAAGCCCAAGCTCAACCTGTCCAGCTTTCTCGACGAGGGCGACGAGCTCGGGCAACTGTTCGAGTTCGAGGACGGCGAGGCCTTCGACTTCGCCGATCTGGACCTGGCCAAGGAAGACATCGAGGCTTGGCAGAAGCACAAGATTTCGCTGGCACAGGAGATCAAGCAGGCGATCAGTGCGGCGATTGGCCCAGCAGCTGCTCAACTGGGTGCTCGCAGACAACAGTTCAAGGAGTTCAAGGCTCGCATGGCCTCCAAGCGTCGACGCGTGGGAGCTCAAGGCGAGGCAGCTGCTGAAGGTAAAGATCGTGGTGAGGAGCAGCCTGCAGGTGGAGACCAGCCTGCTGCCCCTGCCGCAGGCGATGGTCAGGCAGCACCCTCTGCTGGGCAGCGCGCCGCGGCCTCGGCAGCAGCCACTGCCGCCGCTGCTGCAGCAGCGCCTCCCTCGCAGCCCCAGGAGGCGGCGGCAAGCGAGGCGCCCCCGAAGGCGAAGGCGTCCCAGGAGCGAGTGCAGCGGGTTCTGGCAGAAGCCAGGGGCAACCCGCCCTCGTCGGCGACCTACGCTGACGGTGCCGTGGCTCCACAAAAGTGCGGGTAGCACGACTCGTCTGTACCCGAGGCCGAGACAATCTCAGAATGCGGCACCAGAAGTTCGGCGATTGCTATTGCACAATCTTTCTATGTGGGGGCACAAAGCCACCAAGCTTTTTGCAGAGAGTGGTGTTGATATCATCATCATGCCCGAGACGCACGTGCTGGCTTGCGACACTCAGGATATTTTGAGCACGCTGAAGCAGCACAAATGGCAAGGTATTGTTTCTCCAGCATACCCCACGACCTACGTGAAGAAGGCAGGTGGCATTGTTCTGGGTATCCGTCAGCATCTTTGTTGGTCTTCTTTTCGCCACTTGTCGGACGACCCTGACAACGCGATCGGCTTAGTTGACGTCAGCAGCAAGCAGAAGTTATCGGGGCCCTTGTCCTTCAAGGATGTGGTGGCGGTCGAGTGGAAGATCGCCAGAGTCCCGCTGCTAGTGATTGGTGCTTATTTGACTGTCCCAGTGGGGTTGGAAGCACCCATCAATGTCGCAAAGCTTCTCACTAGTTCGGCGCTGTTGGACAATCATGCGGGGCCTTGGATCATCATGTGAGATTTCAACGCTACCCCCCTGGAGATGGCCTCTTGGATTCGTAAGTGGAATGGGCATTTTTACCACCCACCTGGCATCACCCACACGTCCACGAGGGGCAAGGGGCAGCGAATCATCGACTATGCTGTGGCTTCTCAGGACTTCTCTACACTTTTTCATGATGCGATCCAGCTGGATGCTGAGGGTGGTGACCACTACGGCATGATTTTGGAGTTGAATGTTTCTGCCCAACAGTCTGCACGTCGAGTCTTGGACCTACCGAAGATGTTCCTGCCACCGCTGCCCACCAAGTTAAAGGGTGACCCCAACAGCAAACGGTCGAGGAAGAAATTGGAGTTGGAGCGGCGACGGCAGCAACGAGCTCTGGACCACTCGGAGGATCTCGAGCAAGAACTTCCTGAACCCGAGTCTGAAGACGAGGAGTTCTTGGCGCAACCTCAGCAGGCCAGCTCGTGCACGAAATACCCAGAGGAGGCTCGCAAGTTTCTACATCGAGATTTGTTCGACTTCGACTCCGAGGCGCTTCAGCAGATGTGGCAGTCGCATATTTATGACCACAAGACTTCTGAGGTCAAGCCTGTAGCTCAGGACTGCCACCCAGCCAAGTATTTAGAGTGGAGGGTTGAAGATCTGGATAAGCTTTGGGCCACCATTGACAACAACACTCTCCAGCACTGTGAGTGGACCCTACCGCCAGATTGGATACAAGACAGCCTCTCGTATAAGTATGATCCCGAGACTGCTATCGAGCTGGGATCAGACTACGGAAGATTTACGTCAGTTTTTGAGAATTGTCTGTGTCGTGTACTTGAGGTACCACCAGATCGAGCTTGGCATTACAAAGGCCGTGGAGTTGCGAGGGAATTCAAAACTTTGCCGATTTCAGCACCCGCGCCAACAAGAGCGCATTCAGATATGTCAATCAAGTGGTGGCTGCAAGTTTCTGGTTGGATTCAGGAGCTTATTCGAGTCTCTGCCAGTGGAACCCAGCAGCACGTCGAGGAGTTCTCTACTGCAGCAGGTGGTGACTCCCCCCCTCCTCCCCCCGTTTTGCTCAGCCCAGTCTCGAAAAAACAAGTCAGGACAGCATCGAGAAAAGACTTCTTGGTGCATAGGTTGGCACAGGCTCCTGCTGACATGCCACTTTCAGGTTTCGGCCAGGTAATAGGCAGAGATCGGCAGGACTGGGCCAGCACACTTCTTAACATTCACAATCTACCGAGAGAAGCTCTCATTACGATGGGAGCATCAGCGGATAAGATCGCAGCAGCCCTGGAGCGCAAGGCGGCCAAGGAGAGTTACAGCGCTTTTCAATCTTGGATTCGAGATTATTTTGCTCAAGGCTGTGGGAAGTTACACCGGTACGCTAAGCCCAAGACGCGTGTTGAGACAGAGTACCGCGACCTGAAAGGAAGTTCCACGAGCCTCAAGGATATTTTGGTCCAGAAGAGTCAGCTTTGGCAACGCAAGTGGGCTTCCAAAATTTTGTCAGTGCAAAGGTTGTTTCAACTCCTTCGACGGGCTCACGCTAAGGCAGCAGCACAACCCTGGCCAGCTCTGGAGCCTGAGCAGATCGCCATCACAGTCAAGCAGATCAACTCCAGCAAGGCCGCAGGCATCGAACAACTGGGCGGTACCCTCAAGTATTTACCTCCAGCTGGCATTGCTCACTTGACGGGGTTTTTGAATGAATGCGAACGACGAGGAGGCTGGCCTTGGCAGATTCAGACTGCTATTGTTGCTCTTTTGAGGAAAGGCGCTGACACTGATCGTTCAATTGGTCTTATCCCAGATTTGATACGCTTGTGGAGTTCAGCCAGACAGTACGCTAAGCCCAAGACGCGTGTTGAGACAGAGTACCGCGACCTGAAAGGAAGTTCCACGAGCCTCAAGGATATTTTGGTCCAGAAGAGTCAGCTTTGGCAACGCAAGTGGGCTTCCAAAATTTTGTCAGTGCAAAGGTTGTTTCAACTCCTTCGACGGGCTCACGCTAAGGCAGCAGCACAACCCTGGCCAGCTCTGGAGCCTGAGCAGATCGCCATCACAGTCAAGCAGATCAACTCCAGCAAGGCCGCAGGCATCGAGCAACTGGGCGGTACCCTCAAGTATTTACCTCCAGCTGGCATTGCTCACTTGACGGGGTTTTTGAATGAATGCGAACGACGAGGAGGCTGGCCTTGGCAGATTCAGACTGCTATTGTTGCTCTTTTGAGGAAAGGCGCTGACACTGATCGTTCAATTGGTCTTATCCCAGATTTGATACGCTTGTGGAGTTCAGCCAGACAGACTTTTCCTTCTGAATGGGTCGAGCAGATGGCTGGCAAGTGGGACAATGCGATCAGAGGCTCTTCCTGCTTGCGTGTCGGACTTCTACGAGCCTTCTCTGACGAAGCCATCAGCATGGGGCCCAAGCACACCGTCTCGGCTAGTCTTCTGTGGGACATCGACAGCTTCTACGACTCGTTAGAGTACGAGCGCCTGTTCGAGCAGGGCTTGGCCCTGGATTTTCCGCCTTTGATGTTGCTGATGGAAGGGCTGGCTCATCTCACAGTTAGAGTTTTTCGTGAAGCAGGGTGCTTTTCACCACCAGTCCAGGCCAACAAGTCCATCATCGCAGGAGCTCGTAGAGGGGTCGATTTTGGAAGATTTTATCTCTACAGTATCCTTGAAGCTGTGTACAACAAATACTCACCGTCGGTCAGCACGTCGTCTTGGGTTGATGATATCACTCAGTACGCGTATGGGTCCGTCAGGTTCCTTTCCCAGGCGCTCACCAAGGCTGGGGTTCTCTTGGGCAGGCTCTGCAACAAGGCGCACTTGAGTATCGCTAGCAAGAGCAAGATCATCGCGGGGGACCCTGAATTAGCAAAGGACATTGCGCGCAAGTTGGCACAGCACAACATTAAGATCACTGTAGCACAGAAAGCAGTCGATTTAGGCAATGACAGAGGCACGAACATGCGAGCACGGCCTAAAGCAGCAGCACGTCGCAAAGCAGCATGGAAGCAAGTAGGCCGAGCTCGGAAGCTTATTGGAGCAGGCAGAACAGGCAGAGCAGCAGCACGGCGCGTGATACATCGAGGATGTTATGCAAAAGTTCAGTATGATGCAGCTGTGTACGGTATGAGCCCTTCGGCAGTGCAGGCTTGGCGCAGAGCTATAGGAGGCACTTTCACTCTGTCGGTCCGGGGCAGGTGCCTCGACACTCTTTTACAGCTGGAGCTTGGAGATCAAGATCCAGCAATCTCGCAGGTATTTAAGATGCTCGACAGCTGGATGGCCATTCTTGCGTCAGGAGCTGAAGCACGAGCTTTTGCAGCACGAGATTGGTCGCAGCACGTGGCTAGGGCTAGAGAGATTCCTAAGCATCGATGGCGCAGAATCACAGGCCCCACCAGAGCTGTAGTAAATACCCTTCTGGACATCAACTGGGACCCCATTGGACCTTGGCATTGGGTTTCTGATCTTGGGAACGTCTATCAGGCTACTCCAGAGGTCCTTGAAGCAGGTTCACTAGATCTAGATTATATCCGCCAAGACCTAGCCGATTCAGTTCGTCGGGTTCTTTGGAAGCGAGCAGCAAAACATGATGAGAGCGCTGATGTTGCTAACGGAGTAGACCTAACTGGTGTACGACAGCAGTTACGGCGAGCTAGAGATAAAGACCAGCTTAAGTGGGCAGGAGCTTTAGTCAACGTCTGCTGTGGTGGTCAGTGGGCTAGGGAGAGAATTCAAAGCATCATCAACCCGCCTGACTTTTCTGTTCTTTGTGATCGCTGTGATGGTGGACGACCAGAGTCTACCTTCCACCGAATTTGGGAATGTTCCGCGAACGACGCCTTGCCCTCGACCACCAGCATCGAGGCTTTTGTGCACCGTGCTCGCACCCAGGTGGATTCACAGCCGTCAGTGTAGCTACGAGGCCTCACTCCTTCGTCGTGGACACAAGTTTCGCAGCCGCCCGACGAGGCTGACATTTTTGTGCACAGCCACGGCTTCTTCCCCGACGGCACAGACCTGATCGTCGGCGCAGGTGATGCCTCAGGGGGTAAATACTCGGATCAGGCCAGATTCAGGAGAGTGTCTTGGGCTTATGTCGTCTTCGAGGAGTTCGACCTAGCGAACCCAGTTCCGTCCCTGGCCTTGTCAAGGGTGTCCTCGGGAGCCACTTGGGGACCCCAGACCATCAATCATGGCGAGATGATAGCGCTCTTGAGGTTCCTGGAGGAGGCCCCTGTGGGCCGACCACTCGTCTTCGTCACGGACTCGTCGTATGTCCAGAAAAACGTCAATAAGGTCCTCTTGGATTTCTTCCCTACTGGATTTAGGAACGAGTGGCGTCGAATTCAGCGGCTTCTTCAAGAGAAGCCGACCATCATCATCAAGATCGAGTCGCACATGACTCCAGAGCAGGCTGCAGAGAAAAAGGAGCTTGTCTTTGCGTGGGTTGGGAACAAGGCAGCTGATGAGTTGGC